TGCCTGCCTGAGAGTAAGGAAGGTGGAAGAGAAGAATTCAGAAAGTTCTTTATTCTATACAGAAACATGTGTTTAGTCTTCATTCACATTACTTTGGGCCATATAAAAACGGTGGGCCAGGGATTTAGCTCAGTGGTTCCAGCACCTGCCTTGCAAGCCCAAGGACCTGAGTTCAATCCCCCGGTACCGAAAAAAAAAAAAACCAAACTAAAAAAATGGTGGCTTATTCCCAAGGAATCTTCCTTGCTTCTGAAGCTATCTGAAAAGTTCATGGCGGATACAAAAATGGGCTCACAACACCCTGTACCATGTTTCCATTACCAAAGACAAGATGCTTTACCTATTTAAAGGATTTGCAATGAAGAGATGAGCCAATGAATAAAACAATGGAGCCTATTTTATGTACTTTTTACAAGAGTACAAAAAACATTCAGAAGTGGAGAATTCAAAAATATTAATGAATACAAGTTGAAAAGTATTTTTCAAAGATCTCAGAAAATATAGAGACATAAAAATAATTGGGGATTTGGTGTGGCCAAATTTCTAACCTCATTTAACTTTTAAAAACCTGTCTTTTGAATTATCTGCTGTTCTTTTATTTTCATTTATGCCTGTGGTTTGCTATTTGGACAAATCATACACTGTTTTCTACCTTCCATCATTCTTAATCTGACCCAGTTTCACACAATCAAGCAAGAAATTTAGTGTACTTATTCTACTGTGACATGTCTTAATCATAATTAATGCTTGTCAAAGGCATGGCAGTGGGGCTAGATCAAATTTTAAGATAGCTCTTGCACAGTGTGATTCGAGGGTGGCTCCAAATTCTCTCCCTCACTGACGTACTATGGTGTCAACTTTTCTACTCACCTCACCAGAAATCACATCTTTTGACTTAGTCCACTCCTTTGATTTATGTAATACATGCATTACTTAATGTTAAAATGCACATATGTGGGATAACAGGTAAACCTTAGAATTATTACTGTCCTGCCTACATGAACGTATTTTATAAAATTCACTCCTTGTCTCTCTAAGAGACACACAGGTCTCTTTCTGTTTTGTAGAATAAAAAAATAAAAGAAAAACTGGATGTAAAGATAGAATTATGAATTTCTGGATCAGGGTAAGATCTCAGAGTTAATTGCCTTAAAGATAATCGACAGCAGACCCAGGAGTAATGACAAATTTAAGGTCAGAGGCCACATGGGGTGGTTTTTATGCCTGAGTGTGTTTTAGAGCCCACGTGGAATGCTTTCTATATAAACAGATTAAATACTATATATGATCAAGCCATACATAGAAAAGATCAAGTGTCTTTGGAAAAATGATTTAAAGAGGTTTGAAAAATAGTCTGTAATCAATCCCAGCAGTCTTTGAGGCTGAAACAGGAGGATCACAAGTTTGAGCCCCTCATGTGTAATTTAGTGACTTAGCAAGACCCTGTCTCAAAATTTAAAAAGAGGGTAGGAGTAGGAATGTAGCTCAATGGAAGATCCTGGGTTCAATCCATGGTACTGCAAAGTGGGGGCAGGATAAGTAGGCTACAGCATGAAGGCTGGTGCCAAGATGAATACAGTCAAACAGAATTGTGTAATGCCACTGAATTGTGTATGACGACTACTGCATAATCAAGGGGAAGGCAATCTCTTGCATTATCAAAATTTGGCATTAATGTGATGCTGCTTTTAAACCTACTTGAATTATCACTTATTACATTTCAATCATTTTAACATTTTTATAGCAAAATCTTTTATCATTACTAACTTCCCACCATGAATTCTACATTTTCCAGTGTTATTTTACTAATAATTAATGAAATAGTAAATAAATTGCACAATGAAAAGATTGGCATGAAATAATAATGTTGATAATAATTAAAGTCAAAGAAATATTAGTGACTTTTTCATAAATAAATAAATATATAACACACATAATTTTTTCTGAAAATCTTTTTTTAAAAGGTATAGTTCTTATTACTACTATATAGAGGTTCAAATGATATAAATTCCAAAGATTTGGCACTTCAAATTATAGGGTCTCATTCTCCAATATTGAGACTGCAAGAAACTGTATTTTCTTGCAACAAATTCCTTTTCCTCAGCTAGTAAAAGAAGACAACTGCATTCCTCTATTGGTGCTAATATGGGTTTGAATATAGGGGAAAGCTGGTCAAAACCCACAGGCTTGGAAAGTGAAATTTCTTTATCATACTAAATTTCAGAAAACAGATGAAGGCTTTGGTAAAACATTATATACATATACATACATTTTATCACCTATTTATTTAAAGTTCCTTGTTTCAGTTACTTCCTGGACACTGAAGCTGGGACAACTAAATTTTATTATTAGCTATCCTAATTTCTTCCTGGTTCACACCATGATACCGAAATGATATATGTTACTGCACTGAAAATTGTCTTCTAAATTTTACAGTGAAGTTAATCCAAAACAATTCATTGTAACTGTGTTGTTTCACACAGGTTAAATTTCAAGGAAAATATTTGAGATAATAATTAGGAACTAGGACAGCATCCAACTGGTATGTTCATGGAAAATCCAAATGAAAATCCAATACAAATCCTGATTAAAACCTAACCAAGCAAAACACTGCAGGTACCTGGATTCCAATTAAATGTGGCAAGTGAATACTTGACAGGTTTCAATTCCAATTATATTAATGTCAAAATGACCCATTAATATTGAAGGTGAAATTACCAGAACTCATACAATAAAATTGCAGTGTATGGATAGATGAATAGTCTGAAATCTTGGACCCAAGCAAAACTGTTACTCAAATGTCAGCTGCAACATTTGGATCACTCAAAGTGCATCACATCCCTTTCTGTCACTACCTATAGATCAGAGGTAAGATGACTCACAGCTAGCAGATGACAAATCATTTATATAAGCTTGGCATTTTAAGTGTCAGTCACATGCAATCAGGATAAATCAGTTGTATTATTATATCCCTAGCTGTTGACAGGACTTGACATAGTTATGAGAAAGAACTATAAGACTTATTTGGGAAATTTTTCTCAGTAAACTTTTTATTCTATTTACAAGCTCACCTGTGAAGTTTTCCATCACATGTATGTCAACCTAAAATGTAACCAATCTGTGTTTGTCATATAGAGTTATTTTAATTATTCATAATTTCTTGTTTATTTCAAAGGTGTTGAATACCCTTAAACTCATAATACAAGAAATAACATTAAAACCTGCTTATATAGTCCTTCCTGTAAATACAGCTGACATTTAAAAAATAAAGATTTAATTGTATATTGTGTTGTTTGCAGTACACATAAACACTTCTCAAAACATAAAAAAATTATGCAGAGATGGCAAAGGTATCTGGGGTAGAATGGAGTGATGAGGCTAGAGAAGAAGAGTAGGTTAAAATGATCAAGGTGAGATATGGATATGTACCATTTACTCAAGATAAATGTAATTATTTTGTATCATATATACTACTAAAAAATTTTAAAATTTCAGCTACAGTAATACCATACAGTAATCCTCCCTTACTAAGTAGGGAAGCACACATATATGATATTTTTAAATTTAATTATTTTCATTCAAAAAATGTAAGCATACTTGCCTTAAATATATATCCATCAGCATTTCAATTCATATCAAAATTTTATATTCATTTACAAAAGTTAGTTCTTATAAACCACAACAATCTCCCATCCACATAAGCACATACCGCCATACACACAGATAAGCATGCCTTTATAGCCATAAGGCAAAATGCCATTTAGACTTTGGATAATTATTCAAGAGGGACATCAATCATCAGACCCTGATATCATTTCTTCTCACCTGATAATAATGTGAATAACTAACTATTTAGGAGGATTTATTTTATCAGTGCTTTCACTTGGGGTCATTTATGATGTGTCTATTGTTGTATTTTAATATTAACAGACAAACTTCCAGAAAAAATCCTTCTTTTTCCTTCATTGACATGTTCTACTTACATATCATCACTAAAGAAAGTAGTACATAAATGCATGCTAGAATGTCCTAGTTCACTAGGAAGCTGAGATGGTGAAAGGCATAAATCTAATTTTTCACTGAGACAAAATGTGTGTGCCCTCATTTGTTCCCTTATATATAGCCATATCTCTTTTTAGACTTGACATAACACTGAATTAGGAAGAACTTTACCACTTCATTATTTGATATAAATGTATTCCTCAAGTATTTACTTATAACTTCAAATCCAGAAAATAAATTACCAAATTGTCCTTGGGAACATAAACAGCCTGAAAAGTTTTACAAGTACAATTTGCAAAATAACTTTATGACTTAAATGAAAATGTACATAATGCTGATTTCTGTGATAATTATGAGAATAACCTCACAACAGGGTCAGAATATGAAGACTTATAATTGGTCTTCCTTCCTTTTTCTTACACACACACAAAAATGAAGAATTCTAATAGCACTAATTGTGTACTATGGAGAGCAAGACAATGCTGTTCTCCTTCTCTGACTCCATTTCAGTTATCACTTGAAAGGAGCTTCTTCTAGAAATTCTAGAAAATGCTTCTCTAAATACCTAGGAAAATAAAAAGTCAAGCAAGGTGTTTATGTTCATTTCCTTTCTTTGGGACTAAACAGTGGCAATTGAAGAAATAGTTGCATGACAAAAATGAAGGGAAGAAAACAATCAGACGAGACCTTTCTTCATAACTATTATTTAGAAACTGTGCATAAATTTAGCACTTTTTATAGCAGGCACTACTCTGATTTATCTGTAAGTGCATTTATTTCTGACAGGTGTTTTAAAATGATGGTGCAATTTTGGTGAGTTTTATTAAAATTGTTATTTTCCTTTATTTGGCATTTCTGTATTTTAATAAATACTTATCATTTAAAATAAAATAGTTGGGTGTCAGCTATTTTATTTTGGTTTTAGACTAACCTTTGCAAGCCTACTTATTACGGCTCACTAGCGTGATTATGTGTGTGGATGTTGTGTTTGCCCCTACCATTTTCCATATGCTCTGCCTCACCAACACTGCCATCCGGCGTGGTCCTTTCATAGTTGTCCTCTGGGAGTGGAAGGGCACCCAGTCTTGGCCCTGATGAACTCTTACTGCTTGGTGTTTCTGACTCCTCCAGCCCGCTGTCATAGCAACTCTGCAGTGACCCCTGATGTGGGTCCTGAGGCTGACTCACAACAGAAAACGTCACTCTACGAAATGGCTGCAAAAGAAAAGATTCTGAATGTCACTAAGATATAAGATTGTAAATTAGCTTATTTTTAAAAATACATAAATTACATACATCAAGTTCTACTGACAGCTAGTTCAAAGTGAAATGCTTAAATATGTTGAAATCTATTTGAATAATTACATATCATCTAAGACAATGCCTGGAGCTTAGATTTTATTATGGAAAACTGAAAATTCCTTTTCTCAAACAAAGAAGAAAACAATTTTACTTAAAACGTGCATGTAAGTCAGATATGTTAGTTCCACATAGTCAAACTTTTTCTATTCGGTAGTCTATGCTTTTCACAAACAGCCTTAATAAAAAGGATTACTGATTCAGGAAGGCGATACATTCTGAACTATTCCATTATAAAAAGATGTTATTTTTTAAAAACTTCATTCATATAGTATAATGCATCAAAAATCAATATGATATAAAGCTTTAAAACTGAGTGTCCTGGCACTTGGCTTATTAAAAGTACTGCTTAAAAATAAAAAAAATTGGCTGAAGTTATAGAAATCAGAATGTATTTATTACATCAGTCCTTTAAAAGTATTATCAATTTGAAATTATAAGAATCATAAGAAGATAGTAGGCAAAAGGTTTTTTAACAAGTGAATGGAAAACACAATAAAAAGTTTAACTGTATGTATTTATTGATCCAAAATGGTAAAATCATATAAAATCTTTAATTTTTAATTAAAAGTGGTGCAAAACTTTTCTAACTGGAAGCCACAATGGCTGGATTCAAGATTTACTCTTTATGGAATATGCATATTATCTCAAATACATAATAAAATGAAAAGTAACAATAATTTTAAGGAAATAAACTAATACCATAGTACAGTGCTACCTACATACGAATAATAATTGGAAAACAATATAAAAATATCCTGTAATATTTGAGATTATTCTTAGAAACTAATTATCTGTTAATCTCTTGTATGACTTTGAAGATAGTATAAACATATAATTTAAGTTTGTAACTCAGACTGGTTCTTCCCTCTACGAAGGATAAAAGTAATGCTGCCAGAAATTGCCTTGCTGCCAGACAAGGTAAAGAACTATATTTTGCACTTTTATTAGTTGAATGCTCATTGTACAAATCACTCGCTAAGTCTTTGCCAGGACCAGTAGAATTGTGTCAGTGTTAAGAATTATCTGCATTTGCTAGGTTAATAATAAGAAAGCTAAGATGAATTGTGGTATATCTTCCTAATTTATAAATGGCCTTTGCTAAAAAAAAATATGTTTCCCCAAATCTTCCCTTTAATATTTTATAGATAGAAGACTTGCCAAAAATACAGTATGTTATTGGTATTTCTCCAAGTACCTCACTCGTTATATACTGAGTTGGAGTACACGGTCCTTCAAAATCTTTTTCATTCTAGCTCAAAACCAAATTCCTGCAGTGGCTGAATCTAAATGTAAAGGCAGAGCATTTAAATCACACTGTCTTCTTTCTTATTTTTCATTGAATTGGAATTCCAGTATTGCAAAAACAGTTACAAAATATTTCTAGTATGAACATCATACATATCATCGCCCAAAATTATTTGCAATAAACTTTGCTAATAATTTTCTAATAATTCTCATATTTCATGTTAGTATGATTGTTATATTTTACCCTACATATAAATAAATAAATACAAAAATCAGTTTATATTTAACATTATTTTCCTTTGTATACATATTTTCTTTTTATATTTTTCATCATTTATACTACCAGTTGATGACAATGTATCTATGATGTTTTTGTCTTTTTTTTTAATCTAGGAAATGAGATCAATGACAAGTCTCTTAAAACTACATTGCTCTTCATACACAAAATAGCAAGCAAATACCACTGAATAATGAAATTATTAATTTTAATGTTGAATTTAGTTAAGAACTCTAAAGGGTCAGTCATACATATTATTCCTTTAAGACACAATATTGGCTCAAAAATATATGCCTTTACAAAAGAAAAGAAAGGAGGGTCAAATGTTATTCTTAATTCTAGTTTAATGACTTTCAAACATTTTGGGATCAATCTTCACTAATACAAAAAGAATACTGAAAATGAATATACAAACATGTATGGTATATTAATAAGTTCAGGAAAAAATAAATCATGAAAATGGTGCTTCATTTTGGTATAAAGCTAGCAAAGAAAATGATATTTGGATGAAAGTGAGAAAACTCAGACAAAAGATTTATACGATCTGAAGAGATATCGGAGTATTGAAAGTGAGAAATTTCAGAATCTAAGCTTCAATTCTTGTTCCACCACTAGTAGTGACACAGTAACAGGTAATAAGCTATGGTAGTAACGAAAATGTGAAAACTAAAAATATGATTAATCTGCAATGGATTATATGATGATTACTTTGACTTTATGCCATTTCCTTTTCTTGATTTCCTACCCTATTGTGATTGTGAATATTTTAATCTCCATAAACTATTATAGAAGTAAGAACATTAGAATTTTAAAATACTTATGCTAAGCTATTTTTATATTAACAATACTTAGATTATTCAATGCTTGCCTTTTATAATTAAAATAATATCTTAATAAATAAAAACGTAATTCACAATGAAAACCCAAAATAAAAAGTATCACACATGCATGAGAATATACTTGCTTTATCATTCAACCCACATGTAATATAGGCCCTTAGAATCTATAAGAAAATATCAGCATTATATCACTGATTCTTAAACTTGGATAATTCCAAATAATAAAATTCTTAAAGCAATGTATTTAAGTAGGCAATGTAAACAAACTAGTACAAAATCTTAAATTCTGAATGATAACACTCTGATATAAAAGTTAATATTTAAATCCATTAATATGTAATAGATACTGAGTTAGGGAAAAAAGGAGAAGGAGAATGGGAAAGATAGATGCAAATACTTCCGCACTATTTTTTATCATTGGAAAAGATGGTTAAATTTTATAGCAGAAGTTGTAAAACAGAATTCATAGTGCCATGTCTTTATGAAATACTGACTAAGCCATAAATATAAAGCAGGGTGTTCACTTGATGACAGAGCATGAGATGGCATTATTTACATGACTATCACTTTAGTAGTGATGGACACTCTGAAGTAGAGTCCTCTAAAGCGATAACTGTTGAGCCTACATGCATCTCAGCAACATCCAGAGAACTTATGAGAAAAAAACAATTCTAGTACCTGCCACCAATATAAATCCAATGAACTGACATTCAGAGTGTGAACTGTATATCAGTAGTTTGCAAGTCTCTCTGTTCGTGAAGAAGCACAGAGAATAAAGACATAACCAGGGTGTCAGGATAAACCTATATAAAAGATCAAAGAAAGGAGTACTGAGCTAGTTCCCTCAGTATCCATAACAGATTCTAGGGAGAGTCAGTAAACACAAATAGCTTGACCTCCAGACACAAAAGCATGGATATGATGATATTTAGTGACATGAAGTATGTGATATTTATATTTTTCTGTATTGGTGATAAAGGATTTTGTGTCCTGTAAATGCAAAGTAGTCTTTGATCTAAAAGAAGAGAAAGCAAAAGCATTTAAAGGAAAGGATAAGTCTTCCAGATCTTTCAAAGGGTGAAAACATACCAGAGTCTTGAACAAGTAATGAAAGAAGGACTTCCCCAAAAAAATGATTCCAAAGACTATGGCGGTGGTGATATGTGGAATTCTGAATTAATGAGAGTGGAAACTGAAGAATTAATTTAGTAAATGAATGATCTGATGATTTCTTACAAAAGAGGAGGAGGAAAGTTGAAGGAAGGCTGAGGAGTATGCTAAGAAGGGTTAAATTCTTCAACTCAGAAGAAATATTTATGAACAAAGAGGTACATAAGGGAGTAAGTGGAGGCAGTAAAAATGGATATCAATTTCGCTGCCTGCTGCTCAAGTGCAAGGACCCGAGTTCGATTCCCATACCAAAAAAAAAAAAAAATGGATATCAAGTTTCTTATAGAGCAATATTTCACGATTGATTGAACTTAGTCAATAATCCATTATACTTGCATTTATTCTATTTTTTACCTATTATATTTCAGAATATCAACAACAATTCTATATACTGAAGAAAATCTAAGGCATATACATCTTTAAAAAAGACAAAATATTATGTAACCAAGTTTTCAACATAACAGAAGTAGGAAAAAATGCTGTGAAAACTGCTTGGAATTTTTGGGTAGGCACTGCAAAGATTTGTGGATTGAGATCTGTGATAGACAATATATATGCAAGGGCCAATTACAGATGCCATATTTAGAGACAGCAGCAATGGTTAAATAAGGAAATTGGTGGAAAAAACTCAGATCACTTTTGAAATTCAGAGAACTCAGACCATTAAGATCAAAAGAGTCAGATGTATCAAGTAAAATGCTGAAAACATTGTGTTCATGGGACTAATCCATTCAAAGGCCACTGTGGCCAAAAATCTCTATAAACTCTTGCAATCTTTATAAACCTTTGGGGACAGAAGAACAATAAACTAATACACTAAATATTGGAAATACCAGTAAGGAGAGAGACTAGGGCTGTGGTGAGGGAGGCAGACACAGGGTCAAAGTTAAAAGAAATTGACTTGAATAAAGTGTTACATATGAATATTATCTGTCTTTCTTCATTGCTATTGAAGACTTGGTTAAAGGTGAGCATTTAAGATAAAAGAAAAACATGTATCCAACAACACAAAGTTGGAGAAGAGTGAAATGGATTGAAAATAGATAAATTAAAATTGAGAGAGAAAATAAATTTTGAAGTATTACTAAAGCAAAATGAATAGTAAAACATGTTGAGGAATTTCCTGTGTGATTTCTGTTGTGTGTATGCATGTATACATGTTTAATAAGAGAAAACAGAACATTAGGGAAAAAAAGAAAAAGAAATGATGGTAGTCTTAAAATCCCCATAGAGTTTCTGTGTAACTTTGGACAAGTTAGCTGACCTATGATTCTTGTGCCTTAAGCTCAGGGTTTGTAACAGAGATACTATCTCACCCTTAC